AAAGTAATAGACCAAAAGCTGTTTGCATGAAACTGAAAGTTTGGGATATGGTCCCAACAACTGCCTTCCCCCAAGGCAGTGTCCAATCTGTTTACCAAAGAACTTAAAGAAAATGTGTTAGAGATCTGTTGGCTAATTCAGTAACAGCCTGAAACTTGGAAGAAGCACTACCCATACAGAAATGAGAGTAAAATTTCAGCTCCCTCCTAACTCTTATATACCACCATTAGCAATTAAATTCTGATTCCATATTCTCTACTGTAGACCATTATGGAGAGACAAAACAATTACCATTCGGTTAAGATACTGAAGTGCAGGTTCCTATTCAGTATACTGGACAAGATACAGAAGCAGATAAATATGGACTGGCTGCCACTGTGATCAGAAGTGATGCATTCTTAGCCACTGCTTTACTGCTGGGATGCTCCATGTCAAGCCTTTAAAAGTAAGTTGATCCCTAAGTTCTTCAAAATGCTATATGCAGCAATATTTGGATGGGAGGCTATTAAGAATCTATTGTGCGACATGAACGTAAATCTTCTTGAATATTATCCTCAATTGCACTGGCATACGTTCTTTATCCACAGGTTAGCTGGCTAAGAGAAAAAGAATGCTAAGTGCTATAAGGACAGTTATAAACATATTTTAGACTAGTTGGGCACACATTTTTAAGATGCTGAAATAATGTAATACATAATGCTGAAATAATATAACAGTAAATGCTTACAAACCTCTGAGCATTTTCAAAGCTCCTTAGAACTAACCTTCACTAGATTTAATTTGGACCCATCAGAAGTGACTGGTTATGCCCATCACTAATGACCTAATCCTAAATGGGAATTGCAGAGTACAACTCTGCACCTTTAATGGACATATCAGAGCACCCATACAATCCTAGAGAAACTGGCCATCTGATTTCCAAGAAGGACATGCTCACCTACACTAACTACTCCTAATTAAATGAATGTTGAAAGTTCAAGTTTGCATAGCACTTGTATACAATTTTAAATGTGTCAATAGTCCATTGTTCATAAATTAGTATGTTCAACAAACCAAGGTACTCCAGTTACAAAAAGTTTCACTTTCAATCCTTTTAAGGTGTCTAATCATATTCCCCTCCCATTAGCATTTGGAAGACAGCTGAAAGAAAGTGCTCAATGAACATATTAATCCAAATATGCATCCTACTAAAGAGAACATAAATAATCAAATTTGTGAACTTTGGATGAATCATTTCCAACCTACACAAGAAATCGTCATGTATGTTAAAGAGGGAAAAAAAAACCTCACCTGTTTTTAGACGATTCTCCTATTAATCTGACAGATTGCTTCTCATGTAAAGACTTGTCTGTAGAATGCCAAGTGTTCCTTATTTACAATAAATAGCCTTCCACCACCAGCAAGCTACCACTGCACAGCTAATTGGAATGAGCCATCCCAAGCAACCTATTTTTCTTTGTATTGTTTCCTGTAAGGCATGTTACTGACAAGTAAGTGACGATTCCTGTAATATTTATCAGGATGTGTTTAGGCACCTTGTGTTATTCTTCTTATAACTGCCAATGCAACATTTTGTATAAACCACACAATGGGGCTCTTAGTGATCTAGATTATGGGTGACACACAAGAGAAACCGACTTTGACATCAGGAAATAAGAGGTCATAGATGGATAGGCATGGAAATTCAGGACAGGAAGAGGCCTCAGTCTTCATCTGAACAAGTGCATAGAAAATGGGAAGTGTGGGAAGGGAAAGAGGAAAAACGCACAAGCAAGTAATAATATGTTAAGGGCTGTGCGTGTCTTAAGGTGAAGGGCAAGTTTATTCATGTTTTTGTTTTGTTCTAACTTAACACTGTGTATTTATAAAACAGATGAATATGAAATTAATACTCCTTAACAGTGATTTTTTTCTGATGCCGTAAAAGAATATCTTAAATTCTGGATTGGATGAACTCCTGAAATATTTGATTACACTACATTTAGTAGGGTGGGTGTATGTTTAGTGACCCAAAAGGTTATTGGGAATGCAATGCATTAGCAGTTTGGTTTCCTTTTATAAACAAGAAAAATATTTAATGACATAATATTAAGGAAAAAAGTGAACTGGAACAAAAGCAAGTAACCATTTTCCTCAGAGACACCAGCAAAGGTGCTCTCAGAAAATGCTGTTTTCCATTAAATTCCTGACCACAGCAATGTATAGGCATATGAACGATAAAGCGTACTATTGGCGATTTGCAATTACTCTGAGCAGCACAGGCTATTTCTCAACATGTACAGCAATAGGTTTTTCAACATTTGTTTTCTGACATCTCTACACACAAAAATTGGCATGTTTACGTTCAATGTAGTGCAGCATGTTAGTACTGGCAGGAATAACCTATACAGTATCAATTAGGTAGGCTCATTTGTATAAACTATCAAACATGTTCATTTTGTACAGATTGTTTCATCTAATTTGGAGTACTGTACTTAAAAAAGAAAACGTTCCCTCTCCCCCACTACCAATATTTATTCAAATGTATTATGTTCAAGAAAAACATCTAATACACATACCTGAAAAGTTAGAATCTAATTCCAATAATAAGTTGTTTTTTCCCCACCTACTCTAGATACCTTCAGACAACACCGGGACGCTCACCTTGCTGGGGTCATCTGACCCAAGCAGTCCTTCCTGCCCAAGCGCAGGGGGGCTGGACCTGATGATCTTGAGAAGTCCCTTCCAGCCCCTACCATCTAAGACTCTATGAAATCTATTGTAGTAATTCAAAGTGTTATTTTATAATAGGTCATTAATTACATTCATTTCACCTACTCATTTAAATATGAACTCAATGCCTAAAAAGCTTAACTTTGTAAATGTGCTGAAGACAAAAGATATTTTGTAGAAGGAAGGAAACAAAAAGGTACTTCCTCCCTTTACCTCACTTCTCCCATTCCCCTAATCCTATTCGCTACAGTCAAACTTAATGTATAGTTCTATAATTTTTTAGAGAGATCTAAAACTCATGTCCAGTTACCATGTAAACAGATTTAAGATCTAAAAAGTCTGACTATTTTAAATTAGGGCAATTATAAGAGTTATTTGGAATCTAAAGCTCTATCCAACTAATTTATAGTTAGCATCACAACTGTTCATTTTACAAACATTCTTCTGCAAGACTGGCTGCCAATCAAATTTTAATTTACCTTCAGACAATGTAAATATTTCTGGTTGTGGAAGTAGTTTTTAATTAAGCCTTATGGAGAGAATAAAGTCAATTTAAAGTGTGTTCAGTATAGTTCAATAAATATCTTAAAAACACATATTATTTGGAAATTGAATACCTTGCTTAAATAGTCAAGTTGTTACCAACCAGATAGCAGTACTAGGTTCTAGCTTTGTGCTTAAGAGAACAAGAGAACCAACGATTAGAAAAAAGAATTGCTTTCAGCAAAATCTTGATCATTACCGAAGAGAAAAATGTTTCTAAGTTAGTTGTTACTCTTCTTGAAATGCAACTTAGGTACAAACTGAGGTAGTATATAACCACCAGTTTCTAATTTTTTCTTTTTGCTTGAAATTGCTGAGCTAGTGTATTGCAATAACCACCCCCCCCCCTAAATCACAGAACTGTACTGGTTGAGAGATACCACACTGGATGCAACACACACAAAAATGGCAGGACTACAAGTCTCAGTGATGGCTATGATTTAGATTATCACCAGTTTGTCTGTCAAATGTTAAAACATAACTGTTGAACAATTTAAGCAGGAATGCCACAATCCCATACAAGTAACTTTACTCATATGAATAGTTGCATGTCTTTGCTGGGACTGCCTAGGTGATCAGTATGGCTAGTCAAGCACATAACATTTTTTGTATATGCAAGTATTTACCAGGCCCAAGGCCATCATAAAACTAAAAAAAAATTCAAGTATTAAGGCTGATGGTCTTTTATTATTATTATTTTAAGGAGTGGCACTTATGATATGGTTGTTTTACTATGAATGTTCTCCTTAGGAATTTTCTTCAGTCAAACCAGTAATGACCATTTAAACTGCTCTTAATAGGGTAGCAGTTTTCCAAATACACTGGAATAGTTCATCATCTGTTTAAAAAGGTAAATAAAAGATTTTTAATAAACAGTAACAAACCATAACTGTAAGAACATCTCTGAAATGCTCCCAAGATTTAAGCACTATCAATTTTAAGTCACTTTAATTTTACCTTGCATACTGTATTCAGAGACTATATGCAGTTAATGAAAGGACAACTTAATTGAAAACATTTTAAGTGCTTATCAAGTGGTTGCTCGGAGAACAACAACGGGACTATAAAAATCACCTAAAGTAGTCCATGTTAAGTTTATGTACAGCTTTATACAAAATAAAATGTAACAATATTTTGTTACATTTAATTGGATAGTTTCCTATATCAGTTTATTCACGAAAATTATTTAAGGTGTTGTCATTAATATATATTTTTTGAAAACAGCATTTGGGTTTTAACTAAGGAGATATACATTGTTCATGTAGTATTTCAGATGTTATGTCTTTCGTTATATATTTTAAGTTCTCTTGATTTGAAGCAACATAGCACAAAATAAAAACCTGAGTTTCAGGTAACCCTTATTTGATTACAAGGAAATAATAAATGAGAGTCAAACCATTTTTCCCTTTTGAGGGGGACAAGTAATTAGTTCCCTGCTAACACTTAGACACTTTGCTTGAAAATACAGCTTAAATGCATTGAGCTTTTCAACTAGTTTAATTGAATGCAGAGGCTCCACAAAAGTTACTGTAGGGCAGTGTTATATCCTTAACTCCAGATTAAGAATTGTTTTTGAAATGTTTTTCTATGCTGAGCAACATCTATGGCTTTAAATTTGTAAATTTAACTAATACTATCTTGTTCCTTATTCTGTCACCGTTCAGCTCACCAGACCTTTGATGTTGTTTCAGAAAAAATATTAGACCACAAATCATCTCTGAATTAAAATTAGAATACAGGAATAATAAAAAAAATATTGAAGTTCAAGCAGGCCTTAAAAAACACATGTGAGAATTAACTCGTCATATTTTTTGGAAAGTCATTCTCTTTAGTTTGCTGTTTGTTCTTGTAATAGTTAAATATATTATTGTTTTCTAAACTTGGGAGGAAGGGGAATTGCACAACTGTTTCTTTTCCAGGAGTGCTAATCACCATTACTGTTATAAACCAGCGCTTTTCCTTTGGGTTGAGAAAGTATTTTGCTTTAAATAATAAAAAGCTGATATAAAGTAGTTTTATATTTTTATGTCTCTCTTATCTCAAAATACATATAAAATGTAGAATTTAAAGTTGCTATACACCTGATACAGAAACACAGCAATGTCATTATGGTCAATTTCCAAACATTATTTGATAAATGCCAACAAACTGTTTTGCACTACATAGAAAAATAGGTTAAAAACTAAAATAAAATTAAAAAAAAAAATAATCAAGATTCACTGACATTATTTTGCTGTCTTTTCTTGCTTTGGTAACTTCAGGTATTTTAAACAGTTTGCATCATAAGATGGAAAATAGTTCACAAGTAGTTGAATGGGAAATATAGCAGTCACGTCAAAATAAGGGACACTATCCAGATGGTTGTTTTTTTCCTTCGTTAGTCAGAGATCAGTTACCGTGCTTGCCTGAAGTGGTGTATTCAATGTTTCTTTGAGGTCAGAAGCTCAAGTTGTAATAATATGAATCAAAAGGAAATGTATCGCTGTTTGAAGTGATAAAATATCAGCTTGAAGGTAAGCTGTGACTGGTATTAAATTGCAAAGAGAAAGTTTTAGAGCATCGTTCTATTTCAAAATATTACCCAACCCATTTGTAAAAAATAATTTTCTATTTCGTATTAGTTTGTTTAATATGAAAACAAGATGGACCAAAATATTTGGCCTACTGTAGACAGGTATATAATCTCTTAAATTACTTGTCAGCAGCAAAAAGACTCTTCAATGTAAGTGTCTTAACCACTGTACAGCTTGATATTTAATACTTCAACAGGTATTTTTCATTTTCATTGTTGAAGAAATAATTTCACAATCTCAAATCAAAGTCAACACTGCAGTGAGGAGAGCTTTTCTACTTTATTACAAAGAGAAGAAGCCTTTATGTGGTCAGAAAATACAAGATTGATCTTTTTTTTCTCTTCCTATGAAACGCTGCTGTTCAAACAGCCAGAGTGAATTGTCTCAGTTCACTTCTTTAAGTCCCATCACATTCACTTGGGTATGGATGTCCTTGGCTGCTGAAAATCTGGCCCTTTAGTGCACAGGGCGACAAAGTAGTCCCCTGACCAGCAGTTCCAGAATGTCCCGTTTTCATATATTGCATCCATGCACACCTCCTAAAAATGAGGTACAGCAGGGCAAACATTTTCCAAAATAGATGTCATATATATAATATATACACATTCGTACATACATACCTTTATTCATGTGATGTCCAAAAATTTAAAAAAAATGTACACATTTATTACAAAATCGTAACAAAGACTGGACAGTGTTTTGCTCATTCTGGAAAGATGAAGCTCAGTAATACACAACTCCGGACAACTAACCAGAGGTTGTGGCAATATCTTTCTTCTAAACAGTCAGATATTCTTGCATTAAGCTTGGTGAAAACTGCCTTTCGAAAACAGAAGGGGAAGTAAAATGAAGGAAGCAGACCTTGCTCATCTTTCCAAATGAAATACGAGAAGGATCTTCACATAAAAATGCACAAACATTTTTTATTACCAATAGTGCTACAATGAACAATGCAAATTTTGTTGTCTAATTTTTTGTCTTTTCCTTTTTTCTCTTTTTTTTTTTTTACATTTTGGAAACTAAGTGGTAAATTTTTGTCAGTGTACTCGCTCGTCTTTACAGACCCAAGCTTGTCTGCTGGCAAAAAATAAAAATAAACAGAAACAAATTCAGACCCTGCTCAAACTAAAGAAAAACAAATGACAAATTTAGTTGTTGGGCAGCACATAATTAGTAAGGCAGGACCTCAAATGGTGACCCTTTGCATGAGCCAATTGCCAGATCCTCAAGGAATTAAAACCAGGATGCCTGAGCCACATCAGTTCTGCAGTTATGTTGAGTATTGTGCTGAGACAGCCATACCCCAAGAAAAGGGAAGTCTTTAGAAGGCTTGCTGAGCAGGGTTGTAGTTGAAAGTTGATGGCAGATGAGGCCTTTCTTCTAGTTTGTCATATTCCAGATGGAACTCCTACAATTAAACAAAAAGACAAAAACCTTTAATTACTGGTACTCTTTCATTTATACATGGAAATATCTGTGTATACTTAACAATTTCTCTCATATTAAAGTGCTGCTTTTACAAGTAATTTAAGTCCTAGCTTACTAATAGGGGTAATATAAAGCTTGCTTAGTTTGCAATCACAGATTTTTTAACATGCAAGATAGTCAGTATGCTTCAGTGCTGTCTGTAATGGTGCCATCTTCCCTATTTTTTCCAGTGGTGATTAGCCTCACCAGCTGAGTTGCGAGCACTTAAACAGTTTAGCACAGAGCCAGGATACAGTATGCAAGTAAGTCATTAGCAGAATTTTAAACAAAGCATTTAACACTTTAAAAGAGCTTTACGAAGACCTATTTTAGATGCACGTTTGGAGGTATTTTGGTGCCAGCTGTTAGATGAACTCAAATTAGTTAGAAAAGTCACAAAGCCAGGGTTCTCTTTTATCACATTAAATACAAAAGCAACACACAAGTGTATAAAGAGACCATTTAAATCAATTTAACAATCCCAGATCTAATAACTCCTGTATCCAGTTTTGCATATTCAGATTTAGTCAGCCTTCCTTTACATTATCTGAGCCACTGATAAAAGCCTGACTATAATGAACTTTGACGTGCCATTAATTTCAAAGCACTTAATAAACTATTATGATGAATGTTGGATCTCAGTCAACGTACAGGGATGCCAAATAGATAGTGATTAATAAATGGATAGTTCTTTTCCTTGCTAATACAATATCTTGAATTATTGCTTGAGGATGTTTAATATGTATAAGTATAAACATTTTAGTCATTTAGCTTAAGAATGTATTTTGATGCATTTGTTAAGAGAGAGTCCAAGGATGCTTACTGTTTGGATATTTCTTGATACTTATCTTGTGACCTTAACACTTCTAACAACTTTAATTTCTTCCCAGGATCCCAATTTCTACCATTCTAATTTTTGTGTACTTCCCTTGGGATTTTCTGAACGCATGTTAAAATACACTAAAGCAAAAACAAACTATGGGCTTTGCATCATTTTACTATTTCAAGCAGTCTGATACATTTCCTCATCCTTATTTTACTTTCATTCACAAAGTGAATATTTAGTTGAAATGGTTAATTGGCCAACATTCTGTTACCTCAGAAATAACCACTCTGAGTTAAAGAAAAACTTCTATCTTCAACGGTAAGAGTAATTGGTAATTTAGCCCAACTCAAACAAGGAACCTCCTTTGTATGGTAAACTTGACTGATATGGATCTTCTTTTTATTCCTGTATACTGATGAACACACTATGAGCCCGGCTATATGAGCATTACTGACTCCAAGATGAACATGAGCCACCAATGCCAGACCGCAGCCAGCAAGGCCAGCCATACCTTGTCATACATCCAAAGGTGCATCTCAAGCCGGTCCAGAGAGGTGATACTCCCCCTCTATGCGACATTGGTCAGGCTGCAATTAGAGTACTGTGTCCAGTACTGGGCGCTGCACTTCAAGAGGGATGTGGCCAGCCTGGAGAGGGTTCAGAGGCGGGCCACCCATTTGGTGAGAGGGCAGCAGAACAGGCCCTATGAGGAGAGACTGAGGGACCTGAACCTGTTTAGCCTTGACAAGGGGAGGCTGAGGGGAGACCTGGTGGCTGCTTACAAACTCATCAGGGGAGATCAACAGCAAATAGGTAGAGCCCTTTTCTCCCCAGCACCACCTGGGATGACAAGGAACAATGGTAATAAGCTGATGGAGAATAGGTTTAGGTTAGAGATCAGGAGGCAGTATTTTACAGTTAGGGTGGCCAGAATCTGGAACCAACTTCCTAGGGAGGTCCTTGCCCCTATCTTGGGTAAATTCAAAAGAGGTTAGATGATCACCTGTCTGGGGTCTTGTGAACCCAGCATTCATTCCTGCCTGTGGCAGGGGGTCAGGCTAGATGATCTGTTCAGGTCCCTCCTGACCTTAGCTACTGTGAAACTATATACACAGTTATCAAGGAAAGGGAAAAGCTGCAGATTGTGTATTAAACAAGAACTGGTTAAATTAATTTAGCTCTTAATTCTGATATGAATGCAGTGATTTTTTTAGTGTTTAATTGAGGAAAAGGATAGGATATTTATAGGAAACACTTAAACATGTGTGTTTATTTCTTTAGTGATAGGCAGGTGCAGTGAAATCAAAAATCACTTGTCATGTCATTCTGCTAGCCCATACTGACTAGTGTGTATGCACACACACAAAATACTAATAAAGCATCAACAGCAAAATGAAATGGAACTGCTTAGGGCAATTCCTAAGACTAATGGAATGAAACACTGAAAGTTTAGGCTGAATAGGTGGGGGGGGAGGAGAAGGAGGGAGTTTTGATGGCAAAACTGGACTGTGCAATTAGTTTGCCAAGGGAAATGGTAGAAGCCATATTAAAATATGTAGCTTTAACATCTGTCTGAAAACACTAACACAGGCTACAAAATGAACATGAAGGCCCAAATAAAACTTGGGAATTAAAGAGACCCATAATTGTGTTTTGCTGATTATACAAATATGTAAATAATATGAACCTTAAATATTAGAAAGATATTTGTAAAAGCCATCAGCATTTTTCAAGTGTAGGATCAGGACATAGATTTAAGTTTCTCCTGCACAGATTTAAGTTACCATAAAGAACCTATAACTCTTACAGACAAAAGTGTCCTTAATTTTGTTTCTTAGATAATTTCTCACTCTTTAAATGGAAAAATTCCAAAATTTTAGTTGGAAGAATTTAACCAAGACTTCCTGAAAATGTGACACTGTGGGAGGCACTTCCCTTTTCCAGGGTTTGAGAGATTTTGCTGTCTTCTCAGCAGTTCCAACAAAAACAAATCTAATAAGAATGATTTTGCTTTACCTGCACAGTATAAAACTAAGCTGTCTCTAGCTATGTTGTAATTTCCATATGGAACAGAACAAAAATACATTTATATCATATTTGTAATTAGCATGTCCTTGATATTTCTTTCCAAGATGCATGTAAAGTTGAATTCATCATTATTCAAATACTTTGGCTATTTAACTACACAAAGTGAAATCCATTTGATTTTATTTTCATGAAAGTTTAGAAATTGTCTCATTGCTTATCTCATTTTGAATAATTTCTTTCTTCAGACTGTTAAAGTAAATGTTTAAGCAAAATCCATTCTTTATTAAATGAAAGATCTTTTCTTTTTCATGAATACGACTGCTTAATCTAGCTTTATTAGATTTTGTTGAAGTCAATCTAGGATATTGTTACAAAAAGGTTATTAAACTGCATGTGTATTCTATAGTTTTACAAACTGTGCCTGTCTTCTAGTAATATAATCCAAATAATACACCTACATTTCATTTAATCTTATCTAGTTGCATTACAACCTATTCTTGAATTTAAATGATCATTTGTGCATTTGCAAATATGTATAAAAAAGACACAATAAGCTTATATTTGCACAATCTGCAAGTGTACCTGTATTTAGATATGTAATGGACAATCTGATTGCCCCGAAATAACATTAATGAACAATTAAATGGTAATTAGTAATATGCACTTTTTCTAGATATTTCTTAATATTAGCTAACATTACATTTGCTATAATCACAGTATAATGAAAATATCTTTTAAAGTAAAATCATCTTTAAAAAAATGGATTTCCCATCATTGATGGATATGTTCTGTACAACTTTATATATGTACCATCTGGAACTCAAATTTTCTAACATAAGGTAAAATATAATATCCTCCATATTAAAAGCAGCATTTAATCAAATAAGGTCTTTTTTTCCTACTAAACCATCTGGAAATTGGCTCCAGATATCAAGGTAAAAAAAATGGTATCAAATTTTTCAAGCCATAAGGCCACATGCTTGATCTCTGCCTATAAATGACTCCTGCTTGCCACAGACGAAGGGTTCACACACAGCTAACAGCAGCAAGCATAGCTAACTAGCTGTTTTTTCTAAAGTTCAAAAAATAAGGTTCTCTCAGAATCTCCTAACCTCTCCCCATCACCCTTTGTTCAGCTTTCTTGCTATATACCATACCAAAACTAAAAAGAAAAATCTTCTGAGTAACATACCAGTTCCCATCCTTGCAAAGATAAAATATGCCTAGAAAAAAAAATGCATTTCCTCTACAGATGGAGTCTGGAAAAATTAATGCCCTGTCATGTAAATACCTTTCCAAACAACAAGCTATTAGAAGAATTCTAGAAGAGAATGCAGACAAGCTCTTTTCTTCCCCTAACAAGCCCCCAGTTCCTTCTTAATACTTGACAAATTTATATTCAGAATGTGAATAAGGCAGCAGAACTGGTGTGGAAATGCAGAGGCAGTGCATTTGGAGAACAGCTATAATTAATAGATCTACAGGACACTGCCCGTGCAGAACCCTACTGTGGAAGACTCGCTATGCATATTCCCACAGGAAGGATAAAAAGCATGAGTCAGACTGAAGCAATTGCTCTCTTGAGTTAAGCACCCCTTCTGAATTCCAGATACTACTGCTTTAAAAAAAATAAAGATTCAAGCTCCATGTAATCTATTGGAGCTTGATTCTATTTCTGTTGGCATACAGGGAATAGACACTACAGTGTTTACTATCCCTGGATGCTTGGGGGGGGATGGGACACAACAAAACAGAGCTTTACTTCCAGGTTGGCACACCCTGCACCAAGCACACCCAGGAGAGGAACTGTGTCACTCTGACCCAGCTCGCTCAGCATCTGTGTAGCTCACACACTTCAGTGGGAGCTTTTTGACACTAACAGCAGATTGAATTAGCTATTAGATAAAAGTGTGAAAAGCCCTGCTGAAGCATGTAAGCTATACAGGTGCTGGGGAGCTGGGTCAAATTGAGGCAAGTCCTCTTCCATTAAAGCACTGTTTTTGTTTTCTTTCCTTTTTCCACGTCTGTCAGCACCCTTTGTGGCACAATGGGTTAATTCCTTTGACTACATTCATTCTAATTCTGATTTACTTGCAGAGTGTCTGAAAACAGATTTTGATTTACTTATCCAGACTTGGAACTGAAAATATATGGCTTCATTCAAGAAGTTGAAAGAAGCTGACTTCCAAAATAGTTTTTCCTATCTATTAAAAGGTAATGCATAATTCCTCTCCAAACACCTCACATACAGCTCTATTAAAAATCTATTGGAGGCTCAAAATACTGATAATTGATTTCAATTTCAAATCCACAATTCAGTCTTAGCCTCATTTTTGTATTCAGGCATTGAAATTACTTTTTACTTATGAAAAATTGTACAAGGAAGGTTTGCCATTAAGATAGTTAGTAAGGAAATTAGCTTGCCTGTATTATAGCCACTGGTGGGGGCATCTAAGCAACCTGTAACACATATCAAGAGGTCAAAGAGAACCTCCATAAGTTTGAGAGAATTAAAATGTTAATTTCTTAGTAAAATGGTTTTAATAGTAGTCTCATTGATAAAACAGAGAGAAGAAAAGGCTGAACAGCAGTTATATGGTGATCAGAGCTGGTAATTAAATACACTTCAACTGTAAAGACAAACCTCAACCAATTAAGGTCAGAGAAAATCCAATGTAAGGGGAGAATACAGAAAATAATTCCCTTTGGCCTCTGGCCAGGTCTGAAAAACATTCATTTTCAAGCATACAACTGCCTATTTTCATGATTCCAAAGTGCAAAGACATGACTTGTTCTGAGAAGTTCAAAACCCCATGATCTAGCTAGTCAGCAATTAGACTTCTAGGTTGAATGAAAGAGTTGCCCTCTAACCTGAAGCAAGAGACCTGAGAATAGGGAAGGACGGTGATTAGAGATTCCTGGGCATGACTAATATCCAGAAGTTACATCTGCTGAAACCCTGTTTCAAGATAAAAGCTGGGTCCTGACCTGCTGAATTTGTTTCAGAGCTTTGAAACAGAAGAAAAGAGGGATGAAGCAAGTTCTTTCCCTGGTTCCTAAGAAATATCTGACACTAAAGGTTTCTGCCTACTACTAGTGGTTCAAACATTTCTAGTCAAACATGAAACAAACAATGCTGTATCAACATACACACATGACAAAATTAAAACATGTCACTGATTCCCCGAGGGCTCCTATGATTCAATCAAATGCATTCTCTATGAAGAGGATTATTTTCAACCCAAACCAGAGGTAAAGCTGAAGACATCTCTTTTCTGTATGCAACATCCCCAAAGATACACAGCCTCTTTCTACAACAGAAGGCAAATTTATTTTTAAGAGTTCAAATAATATGTTGCCATAATATTGAATAAATATCCTCACTACCTGGTCTCTAAAACTGAACAGTGGTGTGAAAAAAAAGCACTTCAAAACTTTTTTTTTTTTTTTTTTTATATGAACTCTGTCATGGCAAACAAATGCTAGCAAAGAAAAGGTGTCTTACAAAACACAACTCCTAAAGCTACACTAAAATGCTGTTAATAAATTCTATGAAGTTGCTGACATTAATTCTGTACAGGGAAAAAGTAGCTGCTATTTAATGTTATGTGACAGAACAAAAAGAAATGGGGGGGTTGTCCTTTTTTGTATTTTGGCCCAAAATGATGCATCTGAGTGCATACAAACTCAGATGTGATGCTTTTTAAAGGATACTGAAGAACAAGTGATAGCATGTAAGATACCCAGTGTGAATCTATTGGAACAAATCATAAAGATTTTTTTAAAAGTGGAAAATAAGAAGTTTGTGCTACACATTCAATTTGGCAAATAGAACTTCTTATTCTTTAGTACAGGAACTAAAAAAAAAAAAGTGATCCATGTCCTAGAAAATGGTATATACTATGTCTATCCACCTAGAACAGGGCTCTCTGAATGGTGGTCCATGGATCTTATGTGATCAACCAATGAGTGGTTAAATCATGTCCTGAAGGGGCAGAAATTCTCTAGCAAAGTGAGCAGCGGTGCTATTAAACCCTGAAGCTGCCAGACCTGTTGTGCCAGTAGAGCAAGAGCAAAGGGTAGGGTGGGGTGTGCACGTGGGGCAGGGGTTAAGAAACTGCTACAGAATTGCTGGGTTGATATCCTCACTGTGGACACATTTTGGCAGTGAGGCAAGTGGTAGGAGGGTGATCAGCACACAGGGGTTAACACCACTGCTGCTCAGCCTACTCTCACCTCCCCCACCCCCCACAATTTCTTCCCCAGCTAGAAACAGGTTGTGTAGCCCATGAGAAGCCCCAGTTTGGATATAGCCTACCACCCTGAAAGTCTCAGAGGAACAAAAAGTGAAATGGGTCTCTTTCCCAATAATGAACCAGAATTTTAAGGAATCCTTAATATTCTCCTACATCTGAAATCAAAATCTGAAAAATGGGTGATAAAAGGGAACTTGCTTAAAAGCTGGATCACAAACAGGAAGAATGGATATGCGCGTGTGCACACACACACACACACACACACTCTCTCTCTGCATAAGGAAAAAGAGATACCTTAGCTACTTTCCTCCAGTTAAGACAGTCAAAGAAGTAATATGTTCCCCTCTCATATGTATTGGTTTTCATCGTTGGCTCCATGCCTGGTGCCCTGGTGATCCATACTCGCTCCTCTTTGTGGTATCTCCAATCTCGATTAAAGCTTTCATTTTTAATTGGGAAGAAAAGTAATTTGTTAGCTGCTTTCATTTTAGCACACATACACATGCTTTAAAATAGAAGTTAGCACTTCTACAAAACACCGCAATATGCTTATATTAAAGCATAAATTAAAATCCATAAAACACCAGCTTATCTGCTCTATCATTTTGACTTCCTACAGTTGTTTATCAACCCTTATCCTAATCAACAACAAAAGTTTTGGCTATACCAGGTAAGAAACTGATCTACTTGCATAGTAAACTTTTTTCTAAGGTTCATTTACTCTCCCTATTTTTGCTGTGGAGTTTTTAAATAATCAATTATAAAAACTGTTGGCATCTATATACCAATTATCCGCAAAATGTTTTTATAAGCAATACAAAACCCGTGAGGCAAATTTTATGCTCATTTTACAACTGGGTTTCCTTCTAGTCTCCTCATTTTGGAGTAGGTACTAAAACACTTGAGCACAGGTGTAAGTAGACTGTGCCTATATTAGTAGGATTTAACACTAGAAATTGCTCTTCACTTTCTGAGCAAAATTTCAATTGTACTACTTGGTTTCTGCAATAAGTTATACTGTATATAAAAACTGGCCAAAAGTTTGAACATACAGTTCTACTGCTGCTAATAGCTGTAATACATCTCCTCCATTCATATAATAGAGATAAAACAGAAGATCTTCTCCATAGCGGCCAAGTTTTATTGCAGCCAGCTGCAAAAGATAAGAGAAATAAAGATGTGAAACCACAAATAGGTTAGATAGCAGATACCATTTAAAACGACAAAAATCATTACACCAAAATCTGCTTATATTATATAAACCAGAGGTGGCGTGTGGGTCAGATGCGGCCCACCAGGCCATTCCATCTGGCCCACAGGGCCTCTACAAAATTTAGAATATTGTAGTGAATATTCATCTGCCCCGGTTTCCCATCATGCAGCCCTTGATGGCTTGCCAAAACTCAGTAAGCTGGCCTCCACCCAAAATAATTGCCTGCCCCAGTATAAACTGTGTTGCAAAAGGTACACTAATACATAAGAACACCACACTAATGATTCTCACATTTTCTTCAGTTTAATTAAGTTTTTCAGACAACAAAACTGTTAAACAAACCATCAAGATGGGGAGCCTTCTCTCTGCACATATTTTCTGATTTTTACTTTTAAAGGTATTCTTTCATTTACAGTTCCCATGCCATGATTCACATAACATGTAAAAAACCCCACTGTACTAAATTCTTAAAACCTTGAAAGATCTCTTAGAGAACTACAATACATAAGATTTCTTTCTAAATTATCCAAAAATTTCCCATTTACTAGCTAGGGAAGAAAGTCACAGAAAAGCAACTCATGCTACATCTTCAGTTAAGGTTATAAGCTGATCAGTTCAGGTTAAGAAATCTCCATATAACAGAATACTAGTAATACTACAGTATATGAATTACAGGGGCTTAATTTGGTTCGAAGGATCTGGCATGGGTCACTTTCAAAAGCAGAACACTGGTCTACGTTGACTTTTTTTTTTTTTTAAATGTACAACTATGATTATCTCAATATTTAAATCAACCATTCCCCAAATCTGCCCTCACATCCCCAAAGTAAATATAACTTGTTTTTAAGCTCAAAACATCCAAGAAAAACAGAAAAAAATGGGTGCAGGTATAAGTCAAATAGATAAAAATGTAAGGCTAGAATAGCCATCGCATATACCTATTTAAGTATTTTGTATGCCACTGTCTCTCAGAATGCAAGACTTTACAGAACGCTCGATTACATACAAGATAATTTGAATGCAAATTACTTGTAACGTGTTATCTTCAGAAATATGCTACAAACCAAGTAGCTTCTTAACAATATAAAATTATTATACGGCACAAGAAAGCACACTCACCTTATCTCTAATGTGAATGTTCGTTAAGTATTCAGATGGAACATGGAAGTCTAGATAAGGGAATCAGAATTGACGTAATTGTTAAACCGAGTCACTGATTCTCATTTGCAAATATTAACAAAATATTAAATCACAGCCAATTTTCCCATACCTATGTCTTGAGGTCGACAAGGTGAAGATGCCCAAGGTGATGCAAATTTGGGGTAGAGATTTCTGAAGAAAACAAAATTTAAAAGCAATAAGGAACAATATATCCATCCCATTCTCCCCAGACACATTTTTCACTTCGTTTTCAGAAGCACCGACTGACCCACCCACTTCTACTGTGAGGTCCTACCCCTCTGTTAAAGACAGTGGGAATATCACCATAGAATTCTACAGTGCTGGGATTCCATCTTCTACTGTGCTTGGAATGCAAGTACCTTTGGCTCCAACCCCCTTGAGATGCCCAATTTTACTAGGTAGAATGAAGCACAGCGTAATAGCTCAAAACCGTGACATGTTAATAAACCAGCACCTCTAATTTAAAAGAGTTTTATTTAAAGGAAATAAGGCTTATGCTGGCAGGTCTCTCTCCTAATGACTAAAAGATTTTACAACTTTTACACTTCCTTTAAATTCTAGAAGTATAAAAAAAGCACATAAAGAATCATAAAAGGGGAGGGTAGGAGAATTTTAGATTTTGCTTTTATTTAATTCTTTATGTTGTGCATAGAATAAGAAAAACAGGGCCGTTATATGGCTAAGGACATACTGAAGAACTTAGACACTGCACCAATGACTTTGTGATCAACTGAGAAACAATGGAATTTATTAATCACAAATCAGCAGGTAGTAGAAAAAGAGAGAACAGTGCAACACAAGGTGAAATTTTGTCAGCTGCTGTTTCATTTTAATTATTTCTGACAGTATGATATTATAGCATATTTTGTAAATGAAACTTCAGAATGGTACCCTATTAAATATTTGCATCTTTCTAGCAGGAAGGCATCATAATAGCTGCTATAAAAATCTCTGAAGCCTGGGAAATTAACAAAGGCTGATCACTTCCCCAACTGAGTTTTGCTATCCACAGGTACCCAGATCAGGTGGTACTAATTCTACTGCAAACCAACTGCACCACAACTTTTGCCAGAGACAGACAGAAGAGACTTCAGTGGCAGAGGCAGCTTGTAGGAATGGAAAATGAGCAAGAACTTCCTTGTGTAAGAAGGTGGATTCTAGAGCAAAGCTTCCTTCCATCAGTTCCATAGCCTCATACCCACCTTCCAGGTCTGCCACAGGAGACCGCAGAGACCAGGCTTTTGCAAGGAAACTACTTCCCTGCCTCTAACAGGAGAAAAAAATCAGTCTAAGTGTGAAGTGCTTCCCAGGAGTTGAATAAAGGCTCACTCACCCATTTAAATACTACCATAAAAAATCAAAAAGGAACACAGATCCATTTCTCTGATCAGTCGAATGGGAAAACCTCAGCAAAAAACCACCACACAGTACAGACCCTTCTTCTAATGTTATCAACCTATCAATGCTATCAGCAAGTTGAATTTAAGGAGCTGATCACTACCAAATTGTATGATGTCAGACTAACTTAATATATGCCATAAGGAAGGACTATTTCAGAAGACTGGAACATTAGGCTACAAAATACATGCAATGAAAAAGGTTAAAATGAGCTGGCCCCCTTTTCAGTTTTGCCCTGCATGATATTGAATTAATGGACATTTAGCTTGACTACTAAAATTAAACCACTTCAATGAAGAACTAAAATGTATCTAACTTTTTGAGAAAATAAAAGCTCATTCCTACCTACAAGTATAATCTATATAAAACTGTCATCTTTCCTAGAAATACTCAAAATTAAAATGCTAATGACAACAAAGTTACATATTTTAAATATGCTTTATATTTTTCAAAAGTACATTTTAAAGCAACAGGTAATACTGCAAATAAGTTATTCTGTGCTCTTAAGCCAGGAAGACATTTCTAACCGTACTGCAAGTACTCCATAAGGCAGAAAGGTTGAGTTTTCTATGTCTGAAATGTATTTAACTATTCATGTAGCATTTATGAAAGCAAAGTGATGATGTTTGACACAGTGGGTAAAAATAAAGCCTTTACTTCAGGGGAAGTACAATCATTTAGTAAACCTTTTTCCTGTATTTAAACTAAAGCCAGCTACTGCAGCACAAATATCTGGGTCAAATGTTATCAGGTGAACAATATACATAAAAGATG